GGGATGGGGAGGGGAGGGGAGGGGAGGGGGGGGGAAAGGAGATGTTGGCAGGAAGATGATAGGCTTTATTACCATGGAAATAAGAGTTAGGAATGATCGAAGCATCGTAACGAAGCGATGAGGTTGGTGTATCATATAGCGAGCAGATGCAATATACGTGACCATTCAACGACATATCCATTACGTATTGACAGGTTTTGCGGTTGCTTATGTGGGCCGAAGGAGGTTAAGATTTCATATGTAGAAGGTAGGAGGGAGAAGAGGAACGGCAGCAGGATAAAGAGATGGGATAGGAATAATACAGCGCAAGAGAGACCTATAAAGTTGGTAGGATGCTGCTGCACTTTGCTATTCAGCGTTTTTTGTCTCTCTCGGTACAAGCGCACACGGGAACACGAGCCTGTGTGTCTAGCATGTGCTGGCTACGAGGAGAAAAAATCTGCCCGAGTTGGAAACAAAAATTCTCCAATGAAAAATAAAGAGTCGGAAAAAGTTTATGAGAGAGCGAGCGAGGAAGGAAGAGAGACGAGGAAGAATGAGATAATAATTCCATGGAGGCTCCGGGCGTACAGCTACAGCGTATACATTCTATTCAAATAGTGGCGAGGCGGATGAAAGTTAAGTTTTTGCGGGCAACACTGCGCGTGAAGAATTTGCATGCAAGTTACCGCCGACAACATTACGTCTGGAGGTACTAACGAAACGAGAAATGATGGATCCGGGGGTCAGAGAGAATACTGCAACGACATTTTTTCTATGCTTCTTTAAATAAACTCTCGCCGTAATCTTAATCTTAAATCGAGGGCTTTTGTGCCGAAGCGCGTTATTATAGAGGTTGGGAATAAAGTACGGGGCTGCCTCATTGCGCGAGGCCATCTTGAAAATAGATGCCGAGAGCGATGGGACTTGTCTGTCTCGACGATAAGGCAAAACAAACGGAGCTACTGCACAGTGCATTAGTGACAATTAATCAATGGCAGAATGCACGCGATTGCTGCACGCATTACCACACTTGCGTAATATCAGGCAAGGACAGTGTTTTATTAAAAATTACGAAACTACAGGTATTCCCTATCGAATGGCCTTAGCGAATCTCATCTCCATCGCATACCAGCCAGCCAAGCCTTAAACAACCTGCTCGTTCGACCTTAAGAAAGAGCTCTTTAAAAAAAAAAAAAAATACATTTTATGCGTTTAATGAATGGGACGTTAGACGGCACACGCACAGCTATAACATAGCAAGCTTTATGATTTTTCCTTAAGGTGTAAAATTAAACGTAAAGTATCTAGCCGATTAAATGGACAAAAAGCGAATGACAGAAAATTTCTAATTACCGGAAAAGCTCGTTAAAGTTCTCTGGATTAATTAAAAGTCGCATAGAGCTATTATAGAATATAATCAAAGACCACTTTATACTCTTACGAGCTTAATCCATCGTCGTCGTGACACGCTAAACCTCCGGGAAACCGAGGAAGCAAAGTGTAAGGGGAATTTGGGCGTCTCTACGCTCTCGTGAGAGAAATAAGCGGCGAACGTCGGTGACGACGAGGGTCCGGGGAAAGAAATCAATTGCCACGGGTTGAGTATTGTTAGGAAGAAGACTAAAATTCATGTACAAAAAAGAAATTTATCGAGCTGGCTAATCGTCGGGTGGGTGGGCGCGTGATACGTGACATCATCATGGAAATCGACCCTTCTCCTCGCACGAGAACAGTAAATTCCACGTAAATGTGCATAAAGTCGCCATAGAGAGGAGAAGAGAGTGAGTGAGAGAGAGAGAGAGAGAGAGAGAGAGAGAGCACTGGACTACGATTGCTAGCGCTGACGGTACGTGGAGAAGATCACTTCGATGCTGCGCAAGGACGAACTTCGCTTATCGCTTCGCTGCAAATACTTTCCGTCTCGGCCAAGACATGCTCCAAGGATCTCTTACCATCTCTCATCCCTGCCCGTACCTTTTTCTCGCATCTGCTTAGACCCCCCCCATCCTCCTCCTCCTCCTCCTCCTCCTCCTCCCCCTCCCTCCCATCCCACCCCACACCGCTGCGCGCTCCGTGCACCGCCTTTTTCTTCGTTTACCTCATCCCGCCCTTTCTCTCTCCCCACTCCCTTCATCCTTCGTTTTGGCTGCCCCCTCCGCCACGCCACGGCCATCATCATCGCCAAATCACCCGTCGACTCAACACCATAGTTTCTTTTGCAAACCTTCCCAATCGTTCTTTTATTTCCGGCGCCCGAGACTTGTTTTACCATTGGTATTGGATATTTTAACGGTCTGGTGCATAAAACGAGAGTAAAATTTATAATTTACGCCAGCTGTGAATGTTGAATGTATTTGCTAAAGAAAGAATTAACGGTTGCCGAGCTAATGCTTTAGCGATTTTCATGCAATATTAATTATCGCTGGAATGTGCTGGGAGGCGCATTTTATTAAAGTAATCCTAATGCAAAATCGAAATTTCCGATCAAAATAATCGTGTAATTAAGAAACAAGAATTGTCTCACGTTACATTTTAATGTTTTGTAAAAAATATTTACGAGTAAGTTCCTTCTAACTTTCGGCCATGCTCTTTCACTCTACTCTATACATCCACATCATACGCCCTGGACTTTTTTTTATCCCTAAAAGCTTCTGCAACAATTCGCGATGAGATTTCTACTTAATATATGCTTAACTGCGCGTACTAGAAGAATAACAACTAGGAGAGCGAATGAGTACTACTAGCGATCATTACAAATACGCGTGCCCGCGTAAGGCTAATGCACGGACATGCCAATTAGTGTTTTATATATGTAGTCGTGTGGATGGACTCGAAGAGGGGAGAAGGGAAAACGGTTTGGACGTATAGAAATAGTAGTTGTCGGTGTGTGTGTGTGTGTGTGTGTGTGTGTGTGTGTGTGTGGCTTATGAAATTTGCCGTCGCATAGCGCTAGGTGCTACGGCGCCTGACGATAGATGGCATTTTGCCTAGAATGGCAATTGGTCGGATAGTCGTAAGGTTTTTTCAGTGATTGAAATAGAGGAAGGAGCGATCGATTAATTAATATAATGAATAATGCTCGAGCTACGAATGAAATAGTTATCGAGAGCCAATCGAAGCATCCGACCGCTGAAATTCTTATTATTATTTTTGCACGCCGTCGAATCAAAATCGTCGATTTGATACTTTCAATTCGTACGATACGCTCAAAACGCTCGACCATATTTGCATTTTATCGGACGATTCTACGTAAGCCAACACTTAAGAAATACATAAAGGGCGTACAACGTTATGCAAACGTTAATTAATATCGAGCATTTATCACTTAAGAGTGGGGAAAAGTAAAGGTCGAGCACTTTGATCGAGCCTGATCGCGTCAATAGTACCAAGGGCAAACTATCGAGAGGACAAAATCAGAAGAGTACTATCCCGCTGGAAACGACTGCCACGAGTCTACGTCTAATTCTGGTACTTACGCATTGGAGCCCATCTCGTAGTCCTTTGCCTTGGCCGCGTGTTTCCGGCGGCAGCGGCAAAACAGAAGCAACAGTGCGGCAAACAATAGGAACACGGCTCCGCTCACTACCAGGGCTATTAACGTTGGAGTTGCGAGCGCACCTGCTTGCGGTATGTAAGAGGGGCCAACTGCAAAATTAACGGTTAAACATTTAGGTTTTTAGATAAATTTGATCGCCATTGCCATTGCTATTATGAGGGGAGGAATGGAGAGAATATAAAGAATCCTTTAAAGACTTTAAGACTTCATTTTCGTTCGTTTGGAAGCTAATGAAAGGCAACCACCAACCACTGCGTGCCGAGAAATGTTTGCGCACGCGAATGGTTGTAGTGTAACAATTGGTAATGCGTTATATATATATATATATATAACCATATATAACCCACCCCCATACCACCCGCTGCACTTTTCCAATAACTCAGCCTTCTTTCTCCCTCGAATCTCATTATAAGTTCGAGGCATAATTATATCTTAATTATCTTGGAGTTCTCGTTTTAAGTTTCAAACTTTCGCATGCCACCTTTGGCTAGCTACAAATGATTTCGTCGCCTACGTTTAAGAAGAATAATAATAACCAGGAGGTGGACGGCAGATTGAGCAGACTTTACAACACGCTGCGACCAAGCTGTGCAAATTATGTCGATATTGGCAATTAATGGCTTATAATTTTAGCGTCACGAACGGGCAATATCGAATGGTATAATAGCTGGGATTATAAGGAACAGCGCGGAAGAATCCAGCGGCCATGACAAAGCTTCCTGAGCGATAATCCCAGGGGAAGAAGTTATTATTATTAAGCTCGGAATTGCCAGAGTAACAATAATGATAACAACATAGGCACAATACTCACTCTCGGCTTCGATGTAATCGCCGCATCTCTGTCGATCCGCCTTAAGGCAGAGCCTCACGCGGATCCTGGGCTCCGAGCTCGAGGCTGCTGGATCGTCAAGGACACCCTCCCTCTGGGTGCTGGCGCCACCAAGGACTTCGAGCGGCCAGTCGTCGACGATCCTCCAGGTGTTGTCCGAGCCCGAGTCCGACTTCTCGATGGAGGCGACGAGAGCGAGACAGGTAGCCCCGACATTTATCGCCAGGGTCCCGCTCTCGGGGTCGTAACTGACGCGCAAGGGCGTCGGGATCTTGGCGACCGCCGTCGTTGCCGTCACTTCGTCCGAGTAATCCGAATGGTTGTTCGTGTTGTAGACCTTCACCTGATTGGAAACGGCAAACATCGACGAGCCGATTAGTCTCGAGTGCGCGCCTACGGTTCTCCTCATCTCCTATTCAATCTTATAAATTCGGCTGGACAACTTTATCGGGCGACGTGCGACGGCTGCCGGACGTTGGGAATTTTTTTTGTCCTCTTAACGTTTAAGCGCATAAAAAAAATGATTTTTCACGCGATAATAAGCGTGACGTTATCGGCATTTTTCCCTCTCCTTTATCCATCCGTTTGTCCATCGATGCACCCAATGAATCTCCCAATGCATTTCCCAATGCAAATCCGATGCATCGATCAGCCATACTTGATTATCGTCAATCGCGATCGTATGTTACGCGGCAAGGCTAATCCAACGACTACGCGACACTCCTCGTACCTCTGATGAATCACGTGACAGGGTTTTTCGAATAATAGCCGTATAATCGTAAATAACCGGGATGAGCGATAGCGGAGCAAGCATGAGAATGAAAAATTTCTGAGTGATTATAATATACTGGGAACGAAGGCTTTTTGTAAGTAAGTGAAGGAACGAGTAGAGAGGCGCGAATGGGGATGGGGGTTGGGGTTACGTGGTCTTGTTTACCTTGAAAGTGTAGGTCTGATGCTGCTCGAGGTCGGATACGTTGCAAGGATTGGAGCGTCTGCAATCGATCTCTTGCCACTGTCCGGTCGGTCCGCGCGGGGGTGCGCAGTCCGCGGCGATGACCTCGTCGCCGCCGGCAACCCGCCTGTAAGATACGAAGTACTTGGTGATGGGGAGGCCGCCGTCGAAGCCGAGGTCCCAGACGAGGGCGACGTGCGTCGGACCGACGTCCATCGCCCGGACGCTGGTCGGGCGTTCGGGCGCGCCCTTAGGCTGGAGCTTGATCATAGACGTGATGCTGCCCTGGGCGTTTGCCGCGCGACAACTGTAGTCACCGTAGTCGGAATCGCGGATGTTGGTGATCTTGAGGACGGAGGTGTAGACGTCGTAGTTGTCGCTTGAAGTCGAGATCTCGTAGTGGCCGTCGCTCGAGGAGCCTTGAAGTGGCGCCGTATTCGTGCCGAAGCTCCACTGGAACTCGGGCTTGGGCCAGGCCTGCACCTTGCACGTGACATTGGCCGTCTCGCGCAGATTGTTGGCCACCTTGTCGTAGAGGTTGAGTACGATTGGCGAGTGCTCGACCTTGAGCATCATCTGAGACTCGACCTTCTTCACCTCGTTGTCGAAGACGCAGGTGTACTTTCCACGGTCGTTGGCTACGATCTTGTCCGTCTCGGGGCGCGCGTTACCGAGGAAGCTCAGGGTGGAGTTGACGGTGACGACGCGGCCGTGGCCTTCGGAGGAGCTCGTCGTCACCTTGTAGAGGCTCTGGTCGGCCGTTAGTTCGCGATCGTCCTTGAGCCAGCGCACCGATGGACGTGGCTTGCCTTGCGCGACGCACGACACTTGGAAGGAGGATTCACCGACCCTGGAGGCGAGAATAAATAATGCCAATGTGTTACGACTAACCTTCGTAGTACTCTCGTAGGGAGCCCCGCTTCATTAACCGAATTTTTTTGTTTAAGATTCATGGAGCAGGATCAGCTCTAGGACTTAGTAATTAAATAAGTTCAATCTTGGATCAACAAGTCCCGCTAGCGTAAAATTTTAAGAATTTCAATATTTCCGATGACGACGATTCTTTTAACGATACACGAGTCGAAGATTAAGTAAAATCGCGATACGCTTCTCTCAATTCTTTCCTTCCACCAATATCTTCCTTACATATCATAATTACACAAAGTCGCGAAAAAATTTGACTGTAATTTAATTGCAATTTCATGGGAGATTAATGATAGTATTCGGACGGATAGTTTTTCAATAGCGACGCTACGGTGCGTCGTTTTATTATAAATTCCATCGTGTTTTTTATTTTTAACGTTTAGTGTTTAATAGTACGGAGAGGGGGTGGGGTGGGGTGGAGTGGGGGGGGGGCGACGTGATAAGCCGCGCGCAACTGTTCATCCACATATCCAGCATTTAAGCATTTATAATGTGGCAAAAAGCTTACTGGTTATGGTAATGTACTCACTCTTATTTGTCTCGTTGTTTATTGTTATTTTGCGTCAATAATCGCGCGCGTTTATTATATTAATTTAAGCAGCAATATAAGACTACGGTGGATAATTATTTGAATCAAGATGATTTAAATGGTTGGCTCTCGAGCATGAATGACAAGTACTTTTACACGCTATGTTTAATAATATGCGTGTCGTTTGTCAGTTGATTCGCACAATTGATGCTCTTTCGTGCTCGGGCAGACTAATTGCTCGGAATAATTGAGGGAAGCTCGGCACTCTCCGCAGGTTTATTTATAAACTTTCAAAAGGGTTGACGCTTGGTGTCCCTTTGGGACCTTGAAAACAATTATCCTCTTACGCAGAGGTTGGGGAAGATCATACACGAGCTAAATAATAATGCACCATTAAAATGCGCATAACCATCATAAATTATTAAGAAAGTTAAGCTATCATATATCTAACGATTAAAAAAATGGAAACTCTCACGATTATTGTGACGCGTGTGTCAAAAGCTTTAAAGATAACAATGAACAAATAATATACAACAAAGACAAGTGTCTCGCAAATGGTTCAGGTGATGATAGACTAGACAACGATAAAATGGCTTTAATGAGATAAACAAGTAGTTTTAATGCGCCTGGTAATATCCTTTGCACAATTTAACCTCTAAGGCATTATTAAAAAAAAACACGTGAAATATGAATGTAACATAATGGGGAAAGAAATCGATAACGATGAGAAAGAAAATTGTCGCGCTGTTTAGATTAGTGTAAAACATAACATTAACATCGTTGATTGCAGACGAATAAAAATATAGAATTATATATAGAAAATGCACAAATTTACCTACGATCAAACTCTATATCACCGGCTGATTATTAAACTAATTTAATTAATGACCGAACCAATTAGTCAATGGCTGGTCAAGTCAAACGCAAAGCGTAAACTTACTTCCTGGTGACGTGGGGTTGGAGCTTGGTGAGGATCTTTGGCGATTGGTGGACGGTGAGGTTGACGGAGGCTGCCTCGCCATTGCCAATCTCGTTGAAGGCGTGGCACCTGTAGGTGCCCTCGCTGCCCAGGTGAACAGAATTGATTTCGTACTTGGAGCCAAAGTGCTCGGTGGGCGAGATGCCGGTGTCGCCCTCGCGCGACCACTGGAACTGGGGCTCCGGGTATCCCGGCGGATTGGCGACGCACGTGAGGATGACCTTGGAGTTCTCGATTGCGACCGGGGAGTCGGGGGTGATGCGCGCGGGCCCTGGCTTATGGCGGACCCGGATCTCGACCTTGGCGCTCGCCGAGTGATTCTTGCGCTCGCCTCCGGACGGATGGATCGAGTTTATGGCACGGCAGGTGTAGTTGCCCGCGTGCTCGGCGGTGACGCGCATCAGGCGCAGGATCGAACCCTCGACGCGGAACTCTGGTCGTCCTGGATACGATTATGGGGGATAAAAATCTATTTACGGGACTTTTGTCGATGCCTGCTATGTCATCGTACGCCATCTTATCCTGACATTCGCGTTTACGAGTTTTTCTGTTCTTTTCTTTTCTTGGCTTTTACTCTTTAATGGAATTATCGTTGTCAAGTCATTGAAACACTGAGCGGGTACAAACGCGGAGTGAAAGAAGCGAGCGAGTGTTCTTTTAAGTTTTATTCGATCTCTTGAATCTCGTTGCTTAAAGTGATTCACGCCACTTCAAATTGACCTCCCGTCCGTTAAAATGTAAGATTTGCTTTTCTCCAAACAATGAATAATGTCCATCCAGCCTTCGAATTATCGGCATGTAAACATCACTGTACAAAATGAATTAACAAGATGGCAAGGAAAATTATCGGTCGTGTTCGGAGAATGATATGGACACCGAATAAAAGGATAAATGTTTCGACGTACGTATATGAGACGAGAATATCAGGATAATCGGTGAATCGTCCACGTAATAATAATTGCGCTAAATTTTCGTTTCTTTTTTTATTTTTTTTTTGTTTTGTTTTTTATTTTTAAGAAATAAGCTGCGCAACCGTCTCTCTCTCTCTCTCTCTCTCTCTCTCTCTCTCTCTCAAAGGACTTGTACATAAATTATCGATTAAAGCATCGCGCGAGTATTTACCTTCTCGGAGCCACTCGATCTTCGTAGGCGGTGGATTTGAGGAGACGTTACAGTGTACCGTGATGCTGTCCTCGACCTCGGCAGTCCTTATCCTGTCGCCCTCGATGGAGACGCTCGGCGGATAGAGGACGTCGAGGTACAAAAAGCTCTCGCCCTTCTTGCTGAGGCCGTTGTCGGCTTGGCAGGTATACTTGCCCGCGTCGAGGAGGGTCACTTTTGGTATTATATGGTGGAAACTCGTAGCGACAAAGCTGTTGTCCTTGAGCCACCTGACGGTACCCACCGCCGGCTTCGAGTCGACGTTACACTTGAGGGTGGCCATACTGTTGACCTCGACCCTTAGGGGATTCTCCGTGCCGACGGAGACGCGCGGGAAATAGTGGACGTCGAGGGTGACGCTCGCCGTCAGCGTCTCGCCGGCTTTCATCGCCCTGTTACGTACTACGCACTTGAGGATCGAGCGGTCGTCCTCTTTGCTCGGTATGAGCACGTAATTGCGCCCCGTGTGGACGACATTGGGCGAGTTGCCGCGGTACCATCTGACCTCGGGTTCGGGACTACCGCCGTTCGTATTACACTGAAGCTCGAGTCGCTCGTCCTCCTTGGCGATAGCGGCAGCGGGCGAGATGCTGGGTGGTCCGGGCGCCCTCAGCACCGTCAGCGTGATGTTCTTGTGGTAGAGGTTCTCACCGGTGCCGCTCACCTTCACGCGACACTCGTACTTGCCGTTATCGCGCTCGTACGACACGTTGCGGATCTCGAGGTCGTAGCGGCCCTCCTCCGGGCGCATAAAGACCCGGTAGTAGGGCGCGAGGGCCGTCTGCTCGATCGCAGCGTTGTCGTGCATGTTGTTCGTGTGCGTCAGCCAGAAGAAGGTGGCATTTTCACGTGGGGGTGCGAAACGGCATTGGAGAATAACCGTCGAGCCCTCGTGGGTGTCCACCTGTGTCTCCTCGGCACCGCGAGCTCGAGCTGCGCCTATAAAAGACAATTGGAATGACAAGTTGTATTAATGATGCTGGTTTTGGCTCTTAATGTAAAAGAAAAATAAATGGATTTTAAAGTGTCGAGTGGCGCTGGGCCTTGAATATCCTAGTCCGCCCACTTAGTCGTTGCAATTGACATAGTTTTGCGACACGTGCTTGTGTACGTTCTTGTCTCGCTACGTAATTTGCTCGTTACCATATCCGTTTTGCGTTAAGAGGTGCGTGGGATCGTTTATATATCGTGGCGTTTACGTATGGATGTAAAAAGACTTGGAGCTTTTGCAAAAGATTCGAGCTCAATCTAATGAAACATTAAATGGTATTTAGCGTGGAAGTATCGATTAAATTTAATCAAATACAAAGGCAAGTGAGTGTATTACTTAAGACCATAATTTATTTTGACAGCTTTCAGGCGTATAATGAAGAATTCATCGGAGCCCCGAGACGATCATATCTCCATTTCCACAATGTAAAGCGCACTCTGCTATATCCCAATTTTTCCACAACGTTCAGCTTTAATCTTTAGAGCATAAAAGTTATCATTGCGAAACACGCAGTCGAGAAATTATAAGGATATATATATATATATATATATATATATATATATATATCTTTGCTTTGTTACTTATTTCTTTTGGCTTTAAGAGCAAGAAGAAAGTTTTTCATAACTTTAAGAAGTACATAAACTAATTTTTCACACTGGGAAAATGTTTTAAATATGTAGTACATCAACGTTTAATGTATAATGGTAATAAGAAATGTATTTGAATTAATAGTTAAAATAGCTTTGGATAGAAATTCGTGTCTTAGATCATTAATGTCTAAGTAAATTATTTTTAATGTATTTCAAAAATTTGATAATTACATTATATGCTGCTGTAATTTAAGTCAAAATAATTAAGCGAATTATCGTTAATTGGTTTGAAAATAAAATAAAGCGATGTTTTGCATATGCTGCAGTAGATATCGTGAATTTGCCAATTAGATTTATGAATTTTTGTGCAATTGACTTTCTCGTTCGCGAGCTGCTGCTTAAGCAGTCGACATTCAACATTGCTAATCGAATAACTTTTCCCCCCTTAATCATCTAAGAAAAAACAACACAGATAAAGCCATCGCAATTTGCAAGTATAAAAGAGCCGTTACCCTGAAATTATGCTTGCAATTATAGAAAATGTATTACACCTCGTCTAAAGTATATTTTGAGCGCAAACGCACATAACACGAAAACAAACTTTAAATACAGCGGGGAGCGAAATACGCTTGTGTGGGGGGGAAGAAAGATAAAAGACGTAGAAAGGAAATATTACAGCAGTGAATTTCGAAGGTTGGGATGCATGTACCTGCAAGACACCTATAGTAATTAAATGGAAGGTAGGAGCACGTGACGCTTGCGCCCATTGACGTCGTCATTACCCCCCTCACCCCATCGTCGTCCAGCGAAATGCACTTCCACGTTTGCAACAGAGCATCAAATTGCAAACTCCGATCGTCGTGTCCAACTCCTTTATCCTACCAGCCCCCCTTCTTCTACGACGTCACCGAGGTTTTTACGCCCACGCAAGCTTCTCGACTCGACTATCGAATATCAACGACGCATCAGAGGTGCGAATGTACGATGGTTGAAAGCTCAGCACGAGAAAGACGAGACGGGCGTCCGGTTCCTGCACTTTTTCTAAGCTCCGCTACCTCTAACGATCCACCTTCCACCAGCCCACCCTCCTCGTCTGAACTACGGGATGAAGTGATAGAAAAAGCAAAAGTAACTACGCTTCTCGATCGTATTTATTTATAACTGCGCGACTAAGGCTAAGACGGGATTAGGGGATGAATGTCGACAGGGGAGAATGACAATTCATTTGTTTCAAGATGAAGAATGAATAGAAGTGTTGCGAGGACACGTGAAGGACTTGGCTTATTATTCGGCATCGTGTTTGCGAGGAGAAAATTGTGGAGAAAATAGATATTGCCGTTATTTGTCGGTAAAACGGAAAGTTCGACCAATTCAAAATTCCTTGACACGCGGTTGTGCTTTAAGAGGAATTATTGCTTTTTAAATGAATATGTTCTCTCGTTATTTTAAAAGCAATAATTTCACCCCAATAAACACGATAAGTGTGAAAGATTTTTGAGAGAAATTTTTGTGATACGTCAAGTATACGTCTGCTTAGAGAATTAATTACTTAGAAATAGTAATAACTATTGAGCTTTGTGTTTGAAAATTATTATCGTTCTTTCAAGTGCTGAATTTCAAGGCAGTTTGTGTAAAAAGAAGAAGATGCAAAAAAAATTAATTAATGATAATCAATCGGAGAAGATATAGTCAGAGTAGGATACCGAAAATCCGTACTCGTAAAGTAATTTCAGCTATTGTAAGAAACAGTGTTTAATTGCTTACTGACAGGCTTTTAAATTAAACATTTCACGACGTTCGCTCTGTACATACATTATTCTCGCAATAATTAATCGATTACGATGGTAAGATGGTAATTAATTGGAGACTCGATAACAAAGCGATAATCTTTTAATTCGAAAATTAAAACTTGTAGCACAATCCAATAACTTTGAATTCTATTTAAAACGCAATGACTTTTTACATCGTATTCGAAATAAGCGTTAGTCGAGTTAAAAAGTTTATATAGGATTTCCTATTACAGTGTGCTTCTGTGATGTTCTTGGACAATTTAGTCGAAGAGTAACAATTGTCGGTAATGAGAATTCGCTTCACTCCAACGAAAAGAAAAGAAAATTAGATGGGAATGCCAAATTCGATGTATCTCGCTGAAATTGTAATCAACGTTTATTAAAGAATTCGGTCTTTCCTATAATATTACCCAAGTAATCGTATGCACTAAGCAGATAAAGTTTTGATAAAAGTTTGTATTTGAAAATTAACAACTTGGCATATTGATTATTATATACGATCCTTTAAACAAAGAACAAAGAAATCGGCTCTTTATTTGCCGAGAAATTCATGTAAACGCGCGCTGTTTAAAGAGCAAAGATTTTCATACTTAACATTCAAGAAATGCAACATGACATGACCAAATGCAAATAAAACTTATTAAATCCTATATCAAATGTCATTTATGTGTGATTAGAATAAATTAAAACCTCCTATTGTTGTAATTATTATTATGATTAAATATAGGCAAGGAAATGGTGAGAAACGCAATACGTGCAGCTCATATTTGTTTTCATGGAAATTTTATACAACATTCAAATTGCCTAATAAATTTAGGCTATTAAAATGGTAGAATTTCCTGCATAAATTCAATGATTCTTGGGCGGTTGAAACCTCGAGATTCTCTTGGACGACACCCACGGAGAAATGCTCGACGCGACATTTTAAGTAATCTTGTTGGGAAAGATTTGTCATTGAGAGAAACGCGATAGAACATGCGACATCGAGCGGAAAAACATTTACGCAAGATTATGAGTGGGGAGTGAGGAAAGAGAGTGAGTAGCGG